TTTTTCAGGGTCTCACTCTGTTGCCCAAGCTGGAGTGCAGTGGATCATAGCTTACTGCAGCCTCAAACTCTAAAATTCCTGGGCTCATGTGATCCTCCTGCCTCAGCCTCCTGAGTAGCTAGGACTACAAGTGCCACTACCACATCCAGCTAATTTTCTTATTTTATGTAGAGACAGAGTCTGGCTATGTTGCCCAGGCTGGCCTCGAACACTGGGCTAGTGATGGTGCTGTTTTGGCCTTCCAAAGTGCTGGGATTACAGGCGTAAGGAACTGTCCATGGTCCCCAGAGTTCATGTTCTTTACCACTGGGCAGCACTGCCAGGGGAACTGGGCACAGCCCTAACCTGTTCCAGAGTCCTCCCCATGCCCCTTTGTCCCTCCACCCCCTCGGGCTCCTCTCTCCTTCCCTTGCTTGACTCCCTTCTCTTGTCCTCTCCAGGCCCACCTGTCCTCCCCTGCCCACCCGGGCTGGCACTAGCTTACTTCCTCACGCTCCGAGTGCTGGGTGCTCAGTGTCTCCAGCTGCCGCCGCAGCTCCTCATTTCGCTCCAGAAGCATCTTGCCGAGCTCTGCGGCCAACAGCAGGTCTTTCTCCTTCTGCTGCAGCTGCAGGGCCAGGTCCTCTGGCTCCTCAGGCCCTGGGCCCCCTCCCAGGAATGACTCCCGCCGCTCCAGCACAAAGGGGAAGAAGCCCTCGTCGCCGCTGGGAGAGGTACCCCCAGAAAGCAGCCCCGACGATGAGAAGCTGGGCCCATCTGGAAAGCTCATGTCACCTGCTGCATCTGCGGGGACAGGTGGCTGCGGGACACTCTACTCTGCAGTCTGATGGGGGCGCGCCCTCCGCAGGCCGGCACCCGGCCCTCCATGAATTCTCGACCTGCGCGGCCTGCTGGGTCCTGCAGCCAGAGCTTCCTGGGCCACGAAGGGTTAATGACCTGTGTTCTGGCCACCCAGTTCCGTTAATGTCCCTGGGGTACACTGAGGCAGGAAGTAGAAGGAAATGACCTGCCCAGCCTTTGGCCTCTACCAATCTCTGCCCCCAGGAAAGCTCCTTCCAGCGCTCCAGGGCCGCAGGCCACCTCTGCTCCCGGTACCCTCTCTTCCCAGAACCCAGAAGTTTGGCTCACAGCCCCTCACCATCTGAGATCCTTCCCAGAACCCAGGTTCTCAGGGACTCAGCTGTTGGAGTTGAGCCCAGTCCTTTCTCCTCCCAGGAATGCTGGACCCTAAGGCTTGGGAACTGAGATGTCTTGGCCCCCAGGAATCCAGCTCCCTCCCCTACCAGAAGCCCAGCTCCCAGCCCCAGACCTTCCAGGTCTCCCGCCCTCATTCTCCTTATCTCCCAAGCAGGTGCTTTGACTCCACTCTCCAGACTCAGAGGTCCCACCTCCAGTGTCCCCCACCAAGGATTCCCACCTCAGTTCCCATTTTCCTCGGGACTCAGGCATTCCTGCCCCCACCCCTCCGGTCTCAGGAGCCCTGACCCCCAGCCCCCCAGTTTCCCAGGGCCCTGGCGTGGGGCCCAGGACAGGGCGAGGTAACAGGTTGTGCCGGCCGCCCCGCCACAGCGCGCCTCGGAGTTTCTGTTTACTTCCCGGCCCGCCCCTGGGGACTGGAGCCCTGTGCTCCCCTAGGACTGCTCAGGGCCTGGGGTTCGGGGGCTCGGAACAGCGGGCCCGACACACCAGGCTTACCTGCCCCAGCCCTCCGGAGGGTCCCCAACCAGCACACACACACCACACCCGTGCTCCCCCTCCTCCTCTCGCCCGGTGTCCAAGCGCAGCCCTGCTGGCAGGACCTGAATGTCACGGTGGTCGCAGCCCAGCTGCCCCCAGGCCGCTCCCGGGGATCTCCCTGACTCGGCACCCTGGACCCCGCTCCCCGGCCCCCCTCCACCCCAGAGACCCGGACCTGAAGACTTCTCCCCATCCCCTCCCGCACCTAGCTGCCCAGGTATCTGGGCCTCCAGACCCCCGACCCCCAGTCCCAGGCGTTGGAAACCTGGAGAAGGGACTGTGTTCACCCCGGACGGCTGAGTTCCCGCCCCCGGTTCACCGGCGATCCCGGTTCCCCAGTCCCCACCCCGGCTCCCCCATTTTCTCCGCCGACGCGGCCAGACCGGTCCCTCCCCAAGCTCGAGGGTCCTGGCCCTCGGCGTCCCCCACGCTCTCACCCGAAGCCGCCGGGCTCCCTCCGAGGCCTCCCGTCCCCTCTTCCGGAGGCGGCTCCAGGTGTGCGGCCTGCACAGGTGAAGGGGCGGGGCCGCGGGAGGGGCCGGGGCCCTCCCAGACTGCCAGTGTGGCGGGGCGGGTCGAGGGAGAGTCGCTTCCACCTGGCTGGGGGCACTGGCCCATCCTGCTGTGGTTGCAAATTACCCGGCCAGTTAACTGAGCACTTACTGTGTGCAGATCCTACATTGAGATAGCCGCGGCTCCTTTCCCGTCCCCACTGCCTTGCCCTGTGGGATGGGAAATGATTACCAATGACAACAACATCTAATCTGACATCTTAAGCACTCTGCTAAGTAAACTTTTTATTTTTTAGAGATGGAGTCTTGCTCTGCCACCCAGGCTGGAGTGCAGTGGTACCATCACTGCAGCCTCGACCTCCCAGGCTCAAGCGATCCTCCCACCTCAGCCTCCCCAGTAGCTGGGACTACAGGCATAGGCCACTCATGCCCCACTAATTTTTGGACTTTTTGTAGGGGTGGGGTTTCACCATGTTGCCGGGGCTGGCCTCAAACTCCTGGATTCAAGCAATCCTCTTTCCTGGGCCTCCCAAAGTGCTGAGATTACAGGCATGAGCTACTGCTACTGGCCAAGTAAACTATTTTATAGGTGTAACCTGTTGACTTTTTTTTTTTTTTTTTGGAGACAGAATTTCACTCTTCTCACCCAGGCTGGAGTACAGTGGTGCCATCTCTGCTCACAGCAGCCTCCACTCCCGGGCTCAAGCGATTCTCCTGCCTCAGCCTCACAAGTGGCTGGGATTACAGGCACGCACCACCGCACCCAGCTAATTTTGTATTTTTAGTAGAAACGGGGTTTCACCACGTTGGCCAGACTGGTCTCAAACTCCTGACCTCATGATCCACCCGCCTCGGCCTCCCAAAGTGCTGGGATTACAGGTGTGAGCCACCGTGCTCCGCCCAACTCGTTGGCTTTTATGATGGCCTGATGAGAAGGAACTGCTGTAATTCCCATCTTACAGATGAGGAAGCTGAGGCTCGGGGCAGGGGATTCTCCACCTTGCTTGGGGTCCCTTGGGCAGAATTTGAAGGTGAACAGCACAAGTGTGGCTTTAGGGTCATGCTATTTATTGATTCCCTGCTGCAGATGAGGACACCGTAGCCCAGACAGCTAAAGTGACTTGCCCATAGCCACACCCGAGTCTGTGTGGCTCCACACCTGGAGCTCTCAGTTCCTGAGTTATGCAGAGCTGGGGACCAACTCCAGTCTGGGACAGGGGTCTTGGTGTGGAGATGGGAAAGTCTGGGGCTGGGGACCAGGTCCAGCCCCAGGGTGGCATGGACAGCAGTGATGCCCAGCCACAACCTTGTGTCTTGTCATGATTCTCTCCAGACTCCAGGGCTCCCTGGGCCTTGTGACAGGGGCTCCTGGCCTGGAGAGCAGGAAGATGGAGGGCTGGGAGCAACGATGCGTTAAGCGTTTAACAGCAGGCTCCCTGGTTAAAACAGAAGCCCTGGTTCATTGCATTTACCAATGTCCATGATGCAATACCTGCTCCTCGGCTGACTTCCAGCTACTCACCTGGCATCATGGAGTGCAGAGGTGGAAGGGGCTGTGCACATCGGCTCTGGCCAGCTGGTGTCAGCTGGCTCCATGCACCTCTGGCTAGGGGGCCTGGAGGCTACTTACCTGGGTTCTAGAAAAGCTGGAGGAGGGTGGGGGCTGGGACCACTGGCTTGTGGGAAAAGGGAAGCAAGGACTCCTTGGAGGGGTGACTTAGGAACTGGGACTTCTGGGTCCTGGGGCTGGGACAGAGTTTTCTGCCAGCAGAGAGTAGGGGACCTGAAGCCTTGTCTTAGAGCCACATGGCCCAGCAGGGCTGCCACTTTCTCCCACAGCACCTGTGGGAGCAGCTGGTAGCCTCTGGAGGGCTGAAGACATCCCAGTCTCCCCTGGGTGCTGCCATGTGACCCTCCAGAAATATAAGCTCAGTATCTCCTCCAAATGCCAGTCACCCTGGGCCCTACTCACACCCACACTTAGCACATCTTGAGCACCTCCTGCCAGGCTGGGCTCGGCCTGGGATGAAATGATCACAGCCCTACTCCCAGAAGGTTCACAGTCCACCCAGGCTGTGGGAGGGAGTGTAGACCTATAAACCAGAAGTGAACCAATAAAACAGTACAGCAAAGGCGCTTGACTCACGGGTGCTGGCTTCACATGGCTTCAGTCCAGGATCCAGTTGGCCACAAACCAGATGTGTGTGCCTGTGCCCTTCAGCTGATTAACCTCTGCAGCCCTCAGTTTCCCCACCTGTAAAATGGGGGTGATAGTTCCTAGCTTATAGGGATGTGAGGGTTTCTATCCTTCCTTCCTTCCTTCCTTCCTTCCTTCCTTCCTTCCTTCCTTCCTTCCTTCCTTCCTTCCTTCCTTCCCTCCCTCCCTCCCTCCCTCTCTCTTTCTTTCTTTCTTTCTTTTTGAGATGGAGTCTCGCTCTGTCCCCCAGGTTGGAGTGCAGTGGCTCCATCTCAGTTCACTGCAACCTCTGCCTCCCGGGTTCTAGCCATTCTCCCACCCCAGCCTCCTAAGTACCTGAGATCACAGGTGCATACCACCACAACCAGCTAATTTTTGTATTTTTAGTAGAGACAGGGTTTCACCATGTTGGCCAGAATGGTCTCAAACTCCTGACCTCAAGTGATCTGCCCACCTCGGCCTCCCAGAGTGTTGAGATTATAGGCTTGAGCCACAGCACCCGGCCAGGTGTGAGGATTAAAATGGGGGTGAAATTCCAGCACTTAGTCCTTGCTGGTGATCCTCAGCATGGCCACCAAGATGACTCACCTGCATGCTACCCTGTACTTCATCCTCACAGCAGCCCTATGAGGTCACACCATTCATAGATGAAGAGGCCAGGCTCAGAGAGGCGAAGTCATTTGTCTGTGGGTGCACAGCAGAGCCCTCATCCCAGCTTGCCTAGCTCTCAGCCTCAGTCCCTCTTGGGAAGTTTGTGTTGTTTTTGTTTTTTTCAGAGACAGGGTCTCACTCTGTCACCCAGGTTGGAGTGCAGTGGCATGATCATAGCTCACTGCAGTCTCGAACTCTTGGGCTCAAGTGATCCTCCTGCATCAGCCTCCTGAGTGGCTGGAGCTACAGGCAGGTGCCACCATGCCCTGCTAACTTTTTTATTTTTTGTAGAGATGGGGTCTTACTATGTTCCCTAGGCTGGTCTCAACTCCTGCCCTCAAGCAATTCTCCTGCCTTGGCCTCCAAAAGTACTGGGATTTGGGTCATGAGCCAGTGTGCCTGGATTTGAATATCTGAATCTGGTGCAAAGTCTCCTCTGGACCCAAGATTCCTGGCCTCCATCTCCCTGTTGGGCTTAAGAGTCCTGGCCACCCAGCACACAGGGGCCCCCAGCCCTCACCTCACCCTTAGGCTCCCTGCCAACTCCAGGAGAAAAATGAATAGGAGAGACAGAGGGGCCTCAGGGAAGCCCTGGGGAGACTGGTACATGACTAGTTAAGGAGGGAGGGATCGGCTGGGTGCGGTGGCTCATTTCTGTAACCCCAGCACTTTGGGAGGCCAAGGTAGGTGGATCACAAGCTCAGAAGTTCGAGACCAGCCTGACCAACATGGCGAAGCCCTGTCTCTACCAAAAATACAAAAATTAGCTGGGCGTTGTGGTGGGCACTTATAATCCCAGCTACTCAGGAGGCTGAGACAGGAGAATTGCTTGAACCCGGAAGGCAGAGGTTGCAGTGAGCCAAGATTGTGCCACTGCACTCCAGCCTGGGCAACAGAACAAGACTCCATCTCAAAAAAAAAAAAAAAAAAAAAAGGGGCGGGATCGGCTGGGCACAGTGGTTCACACCTGTAATCCCAGCACTTTGAGAGGCTGAGGCAGGTGGATCACAAGGTCAGGAGTTCAAGACCATCCTGGCCAAGATGCTGAAACTCCGTCTCTACTAAAAATACAAAAATTAGCCTGGCATGGTGGCACACGCCTATCATGGCAGCTACTCAGGAGGCTGAGGCAGGAGAATTGCTTGAACCAGGAAGTTGGAAGTTGCAGTGAGCCCAGATTGTGCCACTATACTCCAGCCTGAGTGGCAGAGCAAGACTCCTAACCCCCCTCCAAAAAAAGAAGGGACGGATGGTCACCCAGCCTCACCTGCTTTCCAGCCTGGCCCCTAAATAAACCAGCTTCCCGGATGCTTAGTTTGGAATGACCTCCTCACCTTTCCATCCACTCACTGAGCCCCGGGTGATTCTGAGTCTTGGCTGGGAGTTGAGGAGGGGCCTTGTCCCTGGGGAAGCCTTCTCAGATCTCACAGTGCCTTGGGCAGTCTCAGCTGGGTATACAGAGGCCAGGAGAACCCTACTCTCTTCCCTGCCTTCCCCAGAGGTAGCCTGGTAGAAATAACCTAGGTCCAGACCCAGGTGCTGCCAGGCTTTTATGACGTGTGCTCAATTCGTGAACAGTAGGTGGTATTGTTTGGAGCATTAAAAACCTTTATATAAAATATTTCACAGTGAATCCATTGTTATGCGACTTGTTTTTTTGATGTAGGCTTATGTTTCCAAGTGTTTTCTCCCACTTATGAAAACAAAAAAATCACGTCGGGCATGGTGGCTCACGCCTGAATCCCAGCACTTTGGGAGGCAAAGGAGGGTAGATCACAAGGTCAGGAGATCAAGACCAGCCTGGCCAACATGGTGAAACCCCGTCTCTACTAAAATACAAGAAATAGCTGGGTGGGTGACACGTACCTATAATCCCAGCTACTCGGGAGGTTGAGGCAGGAGGATCGCTTGAACCAGGGAGGTGGAAGTTGCAGTGAGCCCAGATTGTGCCACTGCACTCCAGCCTGGCAACAAAGCGAGATTCCATCTCAAAATAAATAAATAAATAAATAAATAAATCAGGCAGGTCGAGGTAGCTCAGGCTTGTAATCCCAGCACTTTGGGAGGCCAAGGTGGGTAGATCATGAGGTCAGGAGTTCAAGACCAGCCTGGCCAAGATGGTGAAATCCCATCTCTACTAAAAATACAAAAATTTGCCAGGTGTGATGGTGCATGCCTGTAATCCCAGCTACTTGGGAGGCTGAGGCAGGAACATTGCTTGAGCTCGGGAGGAGAATT